TCGCTGAAAATCAATTTGAGAACGGTAAAAAAGAGAGCGACAGGGAGTCAATTTATGTGGATATACAATGTGAGTATAACTAAAACACACATTCCTGATTTTACAAGCATCGTTATATGTGGGATGTTGTATTGACCTAATGACACCTATGTGTTATTTATAGACCCACCTACAGTATCTATCGAACCTGATATAACCTGCAAGGAGGGTGACACAGTAACACTGGTGTGCAATGTAACCAATTCAAATCCCGATGTCGACACGATTAAGTGGTTAATGAATGGTGTACCAGTGCATAGTGATGGATTGTATACCTTTGACAGGATCAATAGAAATAACAGCGGACAATACATTTGTACAGCAACCAACACTTATTTTGATGGCAGTTCTGGTGTAGACAATAGCATAACTAACATAGACGTACATTGTAAGTATTTCCAGTATTTACACGCGTGCATATCCACCACTATTCAATGCATCAATAAGCATACAATTTACTTCTACTGCTATGTGGTCATTTGACATTATATAGTTTACACAATCACATCAATACATTTTTGAAAACACGATTTTTTTCAGATCAACCAATTATCAAAGGATTAATTGAAACCGAATTCAATGTGGGCCAAGATGTAGATCTAGTATGTACGATAGACGCCAATCCACACATAAAAGAAGAAACTATTTCATGGCAAAAGGTTAATGGAGACAGTATCACAAAAAACGTTGTCATTTCCTCTCCCGATGGAAATATCGTTAACACTACATTAACTATAAATGACGTTACAGAGAACGACAGCGGACAATACAAATGCCTTGCGAAAAGCGAATTTGACGACGTTGATCACGTAATTATATTGAAAGTGACAAGTACCAATACAGGCGCTAAGAAAGGTGTGTGTTACAATTTGAATTACTAGAAGTATATATTTCTCAGTATATCGAATATTATACGTGAGACGATATGACCGTAATGACTTCTCAACGTCTGTTTCATGATTGAGATACCTCCTTATTTTGATGGGACAAATTTTCTGAACAGAAAGGAATAAAATCCGATATAGATACGCAAGTTTAGTTTTGATCCCTCTTCAACTTTAAATACAGTAACTAAATTTGCTGAGTGGTTCTTGTTTCGCTGTCATTGCCATCATTTCGGAAATTGTCCTATATTTCAAAG